TGCTCAAGAGATCAGAATAAGGCGACCCAGCCAGGGAAAAGACACACACAAGAGGACCTCCCCTGCCCTGGCCTCCCCTGGCCTACACTAACCCTACCTCTCCCTCTCCCCTTCCTCCTACCCCTACCCTTTTCCCCTCATCCCCGGCACGCAATAACGCCACAAAGGGGCAAAGGGGAAACGGGGAACACAGTGTATAGCAGCCGGATAAGTCCACACACACTAAAGGAAGAGGAGGAAGAGGAGGAGGAGGAGGAGGAGGAGGAGGAGGAGGAGGAGGAGGAGGAGGAGGAGGAGGAGGAGGAGAAGAGAAGAGGAGGAGGTGGTGGAGAAAGAGGAGGAGGTGAAGGTGGAGGAGGTGAAGGTGGAGGAGGTGAAGGTGGAGGAGGTGAAGGTGGAGGAGGGGTGGGGAGGATGATAAAGAAGCGGAGGACGGAGGGGAGAAAGGGGAATTGAGGAGAAAATGTGGAGGTGGGAAGGGAAGAAAGAAGCAGAAAGAAGGGGAGAAGTAGCTTGAAAAGTAGATATTGAAATAAACGAAAAGAAACGGTGATGAAGTGACAGACAAGAAGGAAGAGAAAACTGAAGAGAAGGCGAGACCTAAAGAGTGGAGGGGGAGGGAGGGGGGAAGGGAGGAAGGGAGAGAGAGGGAGAGAGGAGAGAGGAGAGAGAGAGAGAGAGAGAGAGAGAGAGAGAGAGAGAGAGAGAGAGAGACAGAGAGACAGAGAGAGAGAGAGAGAGAGAGAGAAAGAGAGAGAGAGAGAGAGAGAACGCCAGCCCCACACACACACACACTCTCCACCAGCGTCACCAATTATCGATTATTTCACCCAAGCCGCAAGGGGACAGACGCGCGGCACTGGAAGAAGGAGAGGGAGAGGAGGATGAAGAGAAGCAGGAGGAGAAGGCGGTAGACGTGGAAGACGACTAGAGACACGGAGACAAGAGACGTAAACAGAATCAACGAGAACACGAAAGCACACCTAGACACGCGGGGGATGAAGCCCTTAGTTCTGGGAGTAAACAAAACTGCCCATTTACCCCGCAAGAGCCTATCCGCCTGTCTAGCTGCCCTTCGCACCACCCACCCCCTCCTCACCCCACTACCCCCTCGACAAACATACCCAGCTTTTCCTTCCCCTTCCTCCTCCCCCCTTTCTTTGCAAACGGAGTCCGTCCGGCTGGCCAGCCTCAGCAGTCTGTCGCCCCCCCTCCCACTCTCTCTCTCCCTCTCCCTCTCCCTTTCTCTCTCTCGAGCGGCCCTGACCTTGCCTGCCCCTTGGCCTGCCTCCTTGGCCCTATTCCCCGCCTTCGCCTCCCTCCCCTTCCGGGCCATCCCCGTTCCGGCCTTCCCTGCGCCCGGCCCTCTCACGTGCGCCCCACTGCTGGCCCCCCTCTCTCTCTCTCTCTCTCTCTCTCTCTCTCTCTCTCTCTCTCTCTCTCTCTCTCTCTCTCTCTCTCTCTCTCTGTTCCTTCTCTTCGCCCACGCCCTCCTCGCTCTCCCCATTCCGTCCTTCCAATGCTCTCCTAAAAACCTATCACCCCCCCCCCCCCCGCCCTTGCATCTTTCTCCCCCCGCCCGTGCCCTCGCCGCCTCTGCCGCGCTCTCTTGGCGACCTTCATGTCTATTCGATGCAATTCTTTCGGTAAACAGATCAGCGGAAGCCGATCCCTCCCTCAGTAATAACTTTAAACGGATCAAGTTATTTAAAAATACCTGTGTGTGTGTGTGTGTGTGTGTGTGTGTGTGTGTGTGTGTGTGTGTGTGTGTGTGTGTGTGTGTGTGTGTGTGTGTGTGTGTGTGTGTGTAATTATGTTATATATTATGCATATATATATATATATATATATATTATGCATATATATATATATATATATATATATATATATATATATATATATATATATATATATATATATAAACACGAGGCAAAGCGGCAAGGCTTTACAAAATGATCTTATGTGCCTCCCTGCATGCATGCACGCGCGCTCAAAGGCCAGCCTCGGCCTACATACGCCGCCCTGCAACCTGAAGAGGATGCAACCTGGCGTAACCCCTTGCAACGCACCTCCTCCCGTGATCTTGCAGACGAATCCACAACGCCATCAGACACTACACGCGAATAATGAAAAAAAAAATTAGGCTAAACATACACAAACTTTCTTAACGTATATAGAATTCAATGTTAGTCAAACTCCAGAGCATAAACATCTATTAATAAAATGTTAGGAAGAGCAAGAGCATGCGTCCCTAGGCCTTGCAACAGGCCGTGTTAGCAGAGCCTTGGAAATTAGTCAGCAGAATCGCCTCGTGTCCTCCACACCATCGACACCATCTTCCTCAGAAAGAAATACGTCCACGAGGAAAAAATCACAACACTAGACTTGGACGTTAATTTGATGCCAAGACCTGCGATTCAAAAAATCCTGCATACCCGAAAATTATGACCACCTGAAAATGATCTGAACCTTCAAATCTATTACGAACTGAACCATTCTTCACCAACAAAACGAAAAGAAACGTAACCGACTTCGACCTGCGCATTACAGCTGGCAGATGCCGCGGCCCAAAATTAAACTAGTGAATTTCAGCGAATCACAATGGATGTATTATAACGAGGTCTGAGTACACGACGGAGACATTCTAGAAGTGCACCACATTTTCCACAAAAAGAGATAAAGATAGAGGAAGAAAGGGGGGGAGGGGGAGAGGGGGAGAGAGTGAGAGAGTGAGAGAGAGAGAGAGAGAGAGAGAGAGAGAGAGAGAGAGAGAGAGAGAGAGAGAGAGAGAGAGAGAGAGAGAGAGAGAGAGAGAGAGAGAGAGCGCCTATGCAATCTGTTATGGTGAAATCAAGGGTCATGGGCGTGCACCTCCAGCAACACGCTACCTGGGCAACACAAATATCCTACGAAATAGTGTGACGAATTTTGCGTGAGGTAAGGGGGTAGGGAGAAGAGGAAAGGGGTAGGTAAGAAGGGAGAAGGGGAAAGGGGAAGGGAGAAGGGGAAAGGGGTAGGTAAGAAGGGAGAAGGGGAAAGGGGTAGGTAAGAAGGGAGAAGGGAGAAGGGAGAAGGGGAAGGGAGAAGGGAAGGGGGAAGGGAGAAGGGAAGGGGGAAGGTACGAAGGAAGGGAGAAGGGGAAGGAAGGGAGAAGGGCAACGAAAAGGGGGAAGGGGAAGGGGAAGGGGTAGGGGAAGGAGTAGGGGAAGGGGAAGGGGTAGGGGGAAGGGGGAAAGGAGCACTAGTGTTGACTTTTTTTTATTCATCTATTTTGCCGTTCCACTACTGCAATGCTCACGATATTGCAGATATTCTTAGAGGGAACACAACTGATCGTCCAGATAACACTCGAGAGAGGTGTGCGGCCGGGCTCGCCGTGAACTCCGAAGTGTATTGCAAACACGTGCAAGAGAAGGCATGGTTGGCAGTGTCTTGCTGTTGCAAATGTTACCAACTATTGCAAATTGTGAAGAAAACGGTTCTTCCAAAGAAGTGGCGCGATTGCTTACACAGTTCTATTACGTTTAGTGCATTTTGAAAAAAAAAGTAATCAATCTAGTTTGTTACTAAGTAACAGCACATTCACGAAAAGGGCATAGAGGCAGATTTATTTCTTCGTAAAATTAATTACACAAGAAGTGATGTCTGACTGTGATGCGTACCGTCACGTGCAACATTGCAAGGCCACCAGTGCAGGACAGCACAATCGAGGCCTCGGCGCACACCAAGGGAACACTGCAAGAACGCACACTGCTTCGGGCCTGGTCAAATTGCACAGAACTGCATCATTGCACCATACCGCTTGACTGCACTATTAGGAGCCACAACGCAAGCCACTTGGAGCACACACTCAGGCGGCGCGTCCGAGGCACTGTTCGGGCACTGTGCCGGAACTCCTGTAAGGCCTCCCTGTCTCTCGAATTGTGGTAACTGTATGGCCTCGCGTCACCGCTGGCTCCGCGGAGCTCGCATGCTTGCCCAAAGACGGCCGCCGCCAGCTCTGCACGAGTTCTGTTCGGGTCTTTAACGTCACTGCAGATTCGGCCGAGTCAGAATATTTCGGAAGGGGACAACACTAAGGAAAAGAACAGAAAAAAGATGGTCTTTAAAACAAAAGGCAAGAAAACACGATTACAAAATAACTGTAGTAGTCGCATAATCACTGCGGTTCCCTCTTGCATTTCATAATCACTGCAGGTCGCACCGCCACAGAGGGGAAGGGCATTCGTTCGCATCAAGCGCCACGGGAAGCGGAGCCTCCGATCTACAGTGTCTCCAAGCGGCACCGCGAGCCCGCCTAACTGCCCTCGGTGCCACGGGCCCGCGGGCGGCTCGCGGCAAACGCACACGCGGCCGCCCGGAGGCGCCCGCGGCCGAGTGCCAGGAAGGAAAGCCCTCTTCCCCACCAAGCGCTACTCTACCGCAGGGCCACACTACCTACAAGGGCCTCTCGACCTCTCAAGGACCTACGCGCCTACCGGGCGGAGTGCCACTACGAGGGCGCAGCCGCCCGCACTCCGCCCGCAGGACCTGCCACAGGGCGGGCCCCGCACTACGGACATCAACAACAAGCATGGCTGCCCCGGCGCCCGCGGCCCCCTGCCGCTCGGAGGCCGCGGGCGCCGAGGAGCACCAGGGGAGCGCACGACCAGGGGATCCCGCCAGGGTCTCGGCGGAAGAGAGAGAGTGCCGGAGTGCCCCCGAGGGCCCCGGGCCCCGAGCCTCGGGCCCGGGGCCCCGAGGGCGAGCTCCGGACTTCGCCTCGCCACGACGTCCAGCACAACCAACCCCCTGATGGCGGACGGGCCTCACGAAGGAGCGGGACGAGGATCGAACTGCCAGCAGTCATGCAGGGGAGGGAAGCGGCCAGAGCGTGAGTGGCGTGTTGGAGGGAGGCCGCGGGCGTGCGGGCGTGCTCATGGGGAGAGAGGAGAGAGGGTGAACGCACGCCCGCGGCCGCCGCCGCCACACGGCCCAACAACGAGACAGAAGAGGATCAC